GCGGAACACAGATCACTGTACGGGACCTCTGTGTGAGGTCCAGATCATGTGATCACTGATTGGCCAATCAGTGATCACATGAATAGTAGTAAGCAAGATGTCACTTGCTGACATCATTGCTTACTACTTGTGAAATCTGCGAATGATCACAGAGGTCACATGGTACAAGGCTATTCACAACAGCCTTGTACCATGTGACAACCTGTGACCAATCACAGCTCGCACAGTATTTCTCAACGGCTGCAGGAATGCAGCCAGAGAGAAAGAGAAATTATTGCTTTACAGCCTTTATGGATGTAAAAGCAATCAGTGTAAAAAACTTAAAAAAAAAATCTTCATCACCCCCCCCCCACAAGTAGTACAGTGTCACTGCATTAGAAAACATTACCAGCAATGGTAATCTATACTGTAATAACTCCTCTGTAAATAGTAGTCTTTATCCACTTTAAAGTACACTCTATGGTATGAGTGGCAGTGATGACATTTAAGACTCCCTATAGAGGTACCTCTTACTATGGACAATAGGCACAGCTCTTGTGAAGCAGCTATCTGAGAAGTCTTTACCACTAGTTCTTCAGCTGGCTAGCATTGAGGCCCAGTCTTTATGGTGGTGCACATAAATACAGTCCCAGTAAAGTCTGAATGCAGTAAATAATGCTGCTAGTTAGATTTCCAGTCCCTCTGTGCTCTCTGCTAGCAGCAACGGGTTAATAGCAGGAGTATCCTCTTAGCAGTCTCAGTGTCACAACACCAGGGGTCCTGCTGTTCAGATGTCAGCTGACTTCTAGATCTGCCTGGAAGACTCCTGTCACGTACCTGGTTGGGGAGCTTGACATGGAGAGGAGGCGTCCTCTTACTACTCCTGCTCGGAGCCCCTGATAGTGTGAACAGAGGGTGCAGAGCCAGGAGTGGCACGAGAGTGCCGGGTAGGTCTGGAGCTGGTGGCAGGTAGGCGAAGACCCAGGAGATGCAGGCCAGGTGCAGATGCAGGAACGTAGGTGCAGCAGCAGGCAGGTATGGAGGCAATCAGGATGCAGATTAGGAATGGAAACAGGAGTGTGGATATGGCAGCAGGCAGGTATGGCAATGACCAGGATGCAGGCCGGGTGCAGGACCGTGGCTGCAGCAGCAGGTAAGTATGGCGGTGACCAGGATGCAGGCCGGGTGCAGGACCGTGGGTGCAGCAGCAGGTAAGTATGGCGGTGACCAGGATGCAGGCCGGGTGCAGGACTGTGGGTGCAGCAGCAAGTAAGTATGGCGGTGACCAGGATGCAGGCCGGGTGCAGGACCGTGGGTTCAGCAGCAGGTAAGTATGGCGGTGACCAGGATGCAGCCCGGGTGCAGGACTGTGGGTGTAACAGCAGGTAAGTATGGCAGTGACCAGGATGCAGGCCGGGTGCAGATACAGGTTAGTAGGTGCAGCAGAGTCGGACAAGCCGGGTCAGGATCAAATGAGCAAATCAAGTACAAGGGAGCAGGCAAGCAGATATTCAGGGATAGCCGAGGTGCAGGCGGAGTTCTTTCTTAGTCAGGTCAGATCAAGATACAGGCAACAGAATGAGGTATGGAGTGCAGAATTTTATAGACCAGAAGGCGTTGATTACACTGTATTGCAGGTTTAAATAGCCCGCCTTGCGGTCACGTGTACGCTAATGCTCATGCACGCACTCGCAAGCTCCTGCACATGCGCGCACACACGCTCCCGAGCATTTGCGCCCACACGCTCCCACGCATGCGCGCTCGCACCATCGCAGCCTGAGGAGATCTGGCGCACGGCTGCACGGAGGGATCCCTGACAACTCCGGTCCCCAGCACATGGCGACAGGTTTGTAGTAGGTTGATGTACAACCTTCTTGATCCCCGACAGTGTGGCTTCCGCCCGCAACATTCCACAGAAACTGCCCTACTAAACCTCACTAATGACCTACTAACTGCTAAAACCAATGGCCATTACTCCATACTCATACTCCTTGACCTTTCCGCTGCCTTTGACACAGTCGACCACCCGCTCCTCCTCAGTAAACTCCACTCCATCAGCCTCCATGACTCTGCTCTCTCCTGGTTCTCCTCTTACCTTTCTCAGCGCACTTTCAGTGTCGCATACAACTCCTCCTCCTCCGCTCTTCTTCCTCTTTCTGTTGGTGTACCCCAAGGTTCTGTTCTTGGGCCCCTCCTTTTCTCTCTATACCTCCTCCCTGGGCCAAATGATAACCTCCCATGGCTTCCAATACCACCTCTATGTTGATGACACCCAGATCTATCTCTCCACTCCCCAGCTCACCCCCTCAATCTCCTCCTGTATTACAAATCTACTAAGCGACATATCAGCATGGATGTCACATCACTACCTTAAACTCTTCTTTCAAAAACTGAGCTGTAATATTTCCTCCTCCCCGATCCCCCCACTCACGACTTTACCATTAAGATCAACAGCACAACCTTTGGTCCTTCCCCTCATGCCAGGGTGCTAGGCGTAATCCTAGACTCTGACCTCTCCTTTGGGCCCCACATCCAATCACTGGCTAAATCCTGCTGCCTCAACCTCCGGAAAATTTCCAGCATCTGCCCCTTCCTGACCAATGATACCACAAAACAACTTATCCACGCCTTGGTTATATCCCGCCTTGATTACTGCAACTCCCTCCTCACTGGGTCTACCATTACACAGGCTATCCCCCCTTCAGTCTATTATGAATGCTGCTGCTAGACTCATACACCTTACCAACCGATCAGTGACTGCTGCCCCTCTCTGCCAATCCCTTCATTGGCTTCCACTAACCCAACGTATAAAATTCTAAATACTAACCACAGCTTACAAAGCCATCCACAACACTGCCCCCAGCTATATCACCAACCTCATCCACAGATATCACCCGAATTGCCCACTCCGCTCCTCCCATGATATCCTCCTCTCTAGCTCCCTCATCACCTCCTCCCACGCTCACCTCCAGGACTTCTCCGGAGCCTCTCCCATCCTCTGGAACTCCCTACCGCAGCATGTCCGGTCAGCCCCCACCCTGTCTACCTTTAGGCGATCTTTGAAAACTCACTTCTTCAGGGAAGCCTACCCCATGTCCACCTAAGAACTGTACTTGAATCACCTCCGCCAGATCATCCCCCGCAGCTATCACCTTTTGTATCACCTCCCCCTTCCTTTAGATTGTAAGCTCCAAGAGCAAGGCCCTCCTATTCCTTCTGTACTGAAATGTATTACAATTGTACTGTCTCCCTTATATTGTAAAGTGCTGCGTAAACTGTTGGCGCTATATAAATCCTGTATAATAATAATCTGCACATCTCAGTCTCCTCCATCCAAACAGGAAATCCTTCGATATGCAGCCTCTGAAAATACAGCTCTATCTCTTTATAATCGGTTTGCATTAGGAACTGTAGTTCTGTAATCCATTGACTATCATAGTAAAGTTTCTTTCCTGACCTTCATCTCCAATGATACTGTGCTGCCAACCATCAAGTTTTTTGAGCTCCTTCTGCTTGTCAGCTCCCCCTAGTGGAGGGTAGTATTAAACCATTCAGCGTCCATTGGGAGCACAGAGAGCACTGCAGCACTGTATCCTAAATGGATCTATGTCTCTAACCAAACGCCTGGCTACAAATGAAAGTGATTTTCATCCAGAAAAAAACATATATATTGTAATGCGCATCTGCTAGGCACAAAAGTAACCTGTTTAATACATCTGGGATCCCATTCAAATAGCAGGTCTGGGATAAATTATAAGGGCTTTCAAACAAAATTAGTGATGGGCAAGAAAGAATGTTCTGATGAACAATTTTCTAGATATTTCCATACAAACAAAAATCTAACCTATATAGCCAGCTGCACACGGTGCCTCGATTTCTGCCCAAGCTGACTTCACATGCTTGTTCAGGGTCATCAACTCAGAAAGTTTTAAAACCAAGGACCAAGGAAGAAAGTCAACAATAACAGCCCATTCATTTCTCTTCTGAAAGGCTTCCTTTACCCCCTTCCTGTCCAGGGGGCATTTTCAGCTTTCAGCGCTATCACACTTTGAATGACAATTGCGCGGTCATGCAATACTGCACCCATATGAATTTTTTTACCATTTTTTTTGAGGACAGATAAAGCTTTATTTTGGTGGTATTTATTCACCGCTGGGATTTTTATTTTTTTACTATGTAAATGAATGAAAGTACCAAAATGTTTAAAAAAAAAGTGTTTTTTTTTTTTAATAAAATTTTGCAAATAAATAATATTTCATCCTAAATCTTGGCCAAAATTTATTCCGTTTATTTTTTTAGTAAAAAAAAATATCCAAATTAGTTTATAACCGAAAATTATAATTTTTAAACATTTTTTTTTACATTTTTATTTTTTTTTTTTTTTATTATTATTTTTTTTTTTTTTACATACTGCCACCCTAGCAGTACCATGGTGACACTGTACCATGGTGAACACTGTACTACTTGTGGGGGGTGATGAAGATTTTTTTTCTTCTTTATTTACACTGATTGCTTTTACACCCCATATAGGATGTAAAAGTAAAAGCAATCATTTCTCTTTCTCTCTGTCTGCATTCTTGCAGTCATTGAGAAATACTGAGTGAGCTGTGATTGGTCACAGCTTGTCACATGGTACAAGGCTGTTGTGAATAGCCTTGTACCATGTGACCTCTGTGATCATTCACAGATTTCACACGTAGTAAGCAATGATGTCACAAGTGACATCTTGCTTACTGCTTTGCATGTGATCACTGATTCGCCAATCAGTGATCACATGATCGGGACCTTGTACAGAGGTCCCGTCCGACGATCGGTGTTTCACTGTGTCCGGAGGACACAGCGGGCACTGGATCGCGGTGGTGCGCGCTCCCAGGGAGCGCGCACAGCTAGAAAAGGCGGGTGCCGTTTAGGAACGGCAACCCGCCCCTGGACTGCCACCGCCCTGCCGTTTATAAACAGCAGGCGGACGGCAAGAGGTTAACCCCCCCTGGCGGTATTCCTGAGTGTAGCTCGGGGTTAAATTTCAGTACCAGAAGCGGTAACCCCAAATTGCTACACTCGGGATTACCCTGTAGCGTTGTTGAGTGATCCCTCCAGCACTTACCTTGTCCTGCGTTCCCGCGATGTCCCCCTGCAGCGTCCCCGGCTATGTCCTCCGGCCCATGCCAGCATCCATCTTCTGGGTTCCGTTCCCTGCGATCTCGGGACGTATGGGGGACGGAACTGGCGGGAAATTCAAAAATGTAAAAATTTGACATTCACTCAATACACTAAAATCTGACAGTATAACATTCCTGTATCAAACCATTTCACATACATTTTGTCCCGAGTGCTTTGTCCGGCGCCCTGCCTGCATTGTTACTGTTCTTTCTGCCTGGAAGCTGAGAAACGTCCATGGCGTCCAAAAAGCGTCCCTTTAGGTCAAAAGCGGTTTTAGACCGGCTAGAGAACAGCGATAGTAAATCAGAACCACTTGCAGAATTGAGTGATAATGATTTGTGGGGGAAATTCGTCATCAGACACTGAAAACGATTCTGCAACTGAGCTCAGCGATGTGCAAACTTGGCGCTATATTTCAAATTTCAGTGTTTTTGGTTTGATTACATTATTGAACAAAATGTATTATTATCATATTATTTGTTATGATTATTTATTATATTATAATTTATGATTTCGTGTTTCAAGTTTTACCATACCCGGGATGTTTACTAGACTCTTGTTCGGACAGATTTCAGTGAGTTATTCCTAAGAATTACAGGCCTACAATAAAAAAAAACAACATATTTCCATGCAAAAAAATGTACCGCTTTGAGCACAGAGATACTGACATAATCAGACCGCTAGGGAGGTTAACATTAGCTGATCATCATAGAGATCATATGGAGCTATCTTATGAAAAATCAAAATGTTTTAAATTTTATAAATAAAATTTTATAGTTTTATGTCACACAAAACCAACACTAACTACTGTATATCCTCACAGCTCACTTCTCAGGGGAAGGACGTGGCTCATTTCTGTGGTAGGGTGTCTACAGACACAGAAAAAGCCCCCGGAGACACCTCCTCTACTCCCTGGACAATAAGATGACCTTAACATTTCGAAGCGACTACTTAAAGGAATTCACCGGCTTTGAGGCTTTCTATGTGGCTGAAGGTGAGATATCAATGAATTATTGCAACTGGTTTAGACCCATGTCATGTTAGAACAGTCAAAGTATAGATTTTTTTTTTTATAGATAAAGGAATTCTCCCCCTTACAAAAGAAACAATTGAGTACTGTTCGTGATACATTTTTTATTTGCACTAACATACAATTTTGAGGACAAGCTTTCGGGGTATGTCCCCTTCTTCAAAGTCCAAACAGTACTATTAAAAATCACAAAGTTTAAGCAGAATGTTAGAAGGGATTGAAAAAAAAAAAAAAAAGGCTACAGATAAGATACATCAAAAGAGAGAGTCTTTGCAGTTCTTGTGATTTAAATCAAAGTGGAGACACAGCAAAACTTTGTTTATAGTTTTTGTTGGAGCTGGAAAGAGTCAGACCCTCTTTTATATTTTTTTTATTGTTTTTATTTCAAGTTTTATAGTTTACGTGAATAGTCAGATGTCAGTTTACCACCAGCCTGATCCATTGATACAAGGCAGGGTGGATCCATGCTTTCATGTTGTTATGCCAAATTCTGGCCCTACCATCTGAATGTCATAGCACCCAGTCTGCCCATTCTCCTCTGACCTCAACAAGGCATTTTTGTCAACACAACTGCTGCTCACTGGATATTTTCTCTTTTTCGGACCATTCTCTGTAAACCCTAGAGATGGTTGTGCGTGAAAATCCCAGTAGATCAGCAGTTTTTTAAATACTCAGACCAGCCCGTCTGGCACCAACAACCATGCCACGTTCAAAGTCACTTAAATCATCTTTCTTCCCCATTCTGATGCTCAGTTTGAACTTCAGCAAGTCGTCTTCACCACGTCTAGTTGCCTAAATGTATTGAATTGCTGCCATGTGATTGGCTGATTAGCAATTTGTGTTACCTAGCAATGAACAGGTGTACCTAACAAAGTGGCTGGTGAATGTAGTTTAATCAGAGGTTTGGGTACATATGTAATATGTGCCATATTTAAAAACACTTGAAAAAATGCCTGAAAAATACTCAGTGTGAATGTAACCTTCCCACATGGAAGAAAAATATATTTGAAATATATTTTAGAAATATTCTTCCCAAATATATTGACATATATTTAAAATACTACAATTTTGGCCATATTCAATATATTACAAAACATATTTCTATGTATATGTATATACACTGTATGTTGAAATGTGTTTTTATTACAAAATATCTGAAAAATATTTTTAAAAATACATTTTCAAATAAACTGTATGCATTTCTGGCGGCGCCCCCTAACCAGAAATGCAAAATCATGTACAGGTGAAACTCGAAAAATTTGAATATTGTACAAAAGTTCATTTATTTCAGTAATGCAACTTAAAAGGTGAAACTAATATATGAGATAGACTCATTACATGCAAAGTAAGATAGTTCAAGCCGTGATTTGTCATCATTGTGATGATTATGGCTTCCAGCTCATGAAAACCCCAAATCCACAATCTCAGAAAATGAGAATATTACATGCAATCAATAAAACAAGGATTGTACATAGAACAATATCGGACCTCTGAAAAGTATAAGCATGCATATGTACTCAGTACTTGGTTTGGGCCCCTTTTGCAGCAATTACTGCCTCAATGCGGCGTGGCATGGAAGCTATCTGTCTGTGGCACTGCTGAGGTGTTATGGAAGACCAGGATGCTTCAATAGCGGCCTTCAGCTCTTCTGCATTGTTCGGTCTCATATCTCTCATCTTTCTCTTGGCAATGCCCCATAGATTCTCTATGGGGTTCAGGTCAGACGAGTTTGCTGGCCAATCAAGCACAGTAATCCCACGGTCATTGAACCAGGTTTTGGTGCTTTTGGCAGTGTGGGCAGGTGCCACGCCTGCCCAAAATGAAGTCAGCATCCCCATAAAGCTCGTCTGCGGAAGGAAGCATGAAGTGCTCCAAAATCTCCTGGTAGACGGCTGCGTTGACCCTGGACTTAATGAAGCACAGTGGACCAACACCAGCAGATGACATGGCTCCCCAAATCAACACAGACTGTGGAAACTTCACACTGGACTTCAATAATAAAAAGAGCAAACTTTCTAATCCCCACAACTGTGTAGTAACTGTGGTAAGTAACATAAACACCAGAACAAAGTACAGAACAGTGCCGGACTTTACTGGTACCAAGGAACACTCTATTTGTCATTACTTACAGTGAAGTCGCATGGTTTGAAAGTTGGATGATAAGCCGATTTCAGATGCGATTTCCAAGACATCTGACACCGATGTCTATGCAAATCGCACCAAACGTAATGCATGTACTACTTTAGAAATCTGTGAGGCTCTGACCAAGATATGACCGCTCTAATTGTGGGCAATAGTGTGTGGCTTGGCATGCGATTTGCAAGTCGCATGGCATGCAAATCGCATGCCAATTCGCATCCAGTGTGACTGGGGTATAAGTCACCCATAGATGGATTGAATCAATCCATGGATAGGCAGGTTGGTTGTACTGAAGTTAATCAACTTGGGTACAATCAGTCTGTGGGATTTTAGACATACTGTATGTTTACTGCAGCTATAGCCCCTAGTAGTAATCATTGTGTTTTGCCAATCACGAAGGCTCCCTGCTGGTAGAACACAATAGCACTGCGGGAAAAATTCCCCCATCAACACTGACTGTTTTGTTGGGGGGGAATCAAGCGATTTTCTTTCCTTCCACCCATGGTAAAAGGAAAATAGATCTCATAATTTATGGCCTGCTTAAAGTGGAACTGCAAAGCATCTGAGCACCACAAACCAAAAAGCTATAGAATTCATTGTTAATATGCAAAGCAAACTCTCCCATCCATCCATGTCTCCATGCTTTATTTTGCTGAGAAATCATTTTGAAAAACATATCCTGGCAGTGGTCATCTTGAGTAAGGGCAGATAATTCTGAATCCATCTTCCCTTAGCTCAGGTATGTAGGCAGGAGCAGACTGACCATTTGGAAACTCGGGCACTGCCTGAGGGCCCGGGGTCAGTAGGGTGCCCCATGAGATGCCCCTGGTACCTTTTTCATAGGCTTTTTTGAGTTTGGGCAAGGACACAGGGGCCCCATGATCCCCTATTTCCCGGGGGCCCCATGAGTTGTCAGTCCGCCCCTGGGCAGGAGGGTGTGTTTAGCTGAGAAATTCTCTTCTTCTCCCCTCCTGAAGACTCCTGGGATGTAGGACATTTTCCTAGGCATAGAATCCAGGAAATAACTGAAGAAATGTGATCTAAAAAAATAACGTTTAAAGAACACTGGCCAAGCATGTAACCTAAACCCTATTGATCTGATCTACAGGAGTGGATCTCACAGTGCTGGAAAATAATGGCGGCCACACAAAATATTGACACTTTGGGCCAAATTTGGACTTTGTCACTTAGAAGTGAGTCCACAAGCTGTACCCTGCTACAATGTGACGTAGTCAAAGTGTCATTTCTTCAGTGTTGTAAAAGAGAATCAAATATTTATAAAAATGTGAGGGGTGGACTCACATGGATAACGACCCCAAACACACAGTAATTCTCAGTACAAGACCACCACCTGCCCTCCAGCACTTACCTTGTCCTGCTAAAGAAGCTAGTATAACATTACTGTTTCAACCCATTCTCCACATTTTGTCCCGAGTGCTTTGTCCTGCGCCCTGCCTGCAACTGTTCTTTCTGCTGGAAACTGGAGACTCCATGGTCCAAGCATGTCGTCCACACCTTTAAAAAGCCCTATTGAGAACAAAGTAAATCAGAACCACTTGAGCGCTATATTTCAAATTTCGTGTTTTTGGTTTGATTACATTATTGAATAAAATGTATTATAATATTCATTAAATTTATTTTATATTTGTTATGATTATTTATTATATTATAATTTATGATTTCGTGTTTCAAATTTTATCATACCCGGGATGTTTACTAGACTCTTGTTTGGACAGATTTCAGTGAGTTATTCCTAAGAATTACAGGCCTTCAATATAAAACAACATATTTCCATACAAAAAAAGTACCGCTTTGAGCACAGAAATATTGACATAATCAGACCGCTAGGGAGGTTAAGTGAGATCATACGGTAGTCTCTTACTTGCACGGTTGTGGGGGGATTAGAAGGTTCCCTTCCGATTTTTGGTTATATGGTAAGAATAATAGTATACTGATTATACTCAAATGTATAACTTCCCTGTGTCTCCCCATGCAGATATAAATGAGTGTGAGAAGAACGAGGATGAGGAGGACACATGAGACC